CACTTGAACTGGGAGCTTTCCAGCCTCCCAGGGCTGCAGGAACTTTTCTAAATAAGCTTGTTGTACGGCTCTGAGAGGGAACGGCCCAGCTGCCCCCATGGTGGTGTCGGCCACCTTCTGCTGTCTTAGCTTCTCACGTTGCCTCTGTGATTCCAGAGTTTTCAGTCTAGCTGATTCTTTCCCAGAGCGGGTGGCCCCTGAGGCTCCCCCCCGTGCCCATATGCTCCCCCCTAATGCCTGATCTGCTCCACGTACAGGTGAGAGCGCCCGCATGATCCCCGCTCCCACACTCCCCTCTGCTCCCCACGGCTCCTCCCGGGAGGAGGCAAGACTGGAGTCGGGTCACCCTCGTCCCTCCGGAAGTAGGACAGGAGTGGTGGATCGAGGGTGGGGTGGAGGGCATGGTCTTTTGAGCCACCATCTGGGCGACTCGCTGCTCAGCCGCATCGGCCCACAGGACCCAAAGGTCCATTGGGCAGGGATGGTTGTGCTCAACGTGCGCTTGGACTGCCCCAGCAGTCTCCGGTCAAAGGAGCCCCACGGCAGCCACCTCTCCTCTCGTGAAAGGCGTCCCGTGTACCTTGTCCACTCCCCTGCGCACAGTATGACCGCTCCCCATTGGCTTGACAGAAAGGGTGCCCTGGTCCCACAACTGGACCCTCAGCCCCAACGGGCTCCCAGGGATGTGCTCCCCCTGTCTCACACCCTTACCTCTGTGTTCTCCCCAATGGACTACCAACTAGCCTTACCCCTCCCGGCTCCTTGGGGGTCCGCCTCCTCCAAAGACACGGGGGCAAACTCACCCTGTGCTGGCTGCCGCGTGCTCTGTGACCGAGGTGGGCCGATCCGAGCCCTGAGGGGTGCCACGCTGCTATCCCGGACAAGCCCCCAAATCGTTGCCCCAAAATTCAGGCACCGGAGCTGGCGTGGAGCTGGGAGGAACCTAGTCCCTGAATTTGAGAGAAAACACCCAATACTTTTGCAAAGTGGCTTTTTTGCTCCCTGACAATACAAATCACTTCAGGCAAAGCAACAAAGGTTTATTAAGGGGGCCAAGTCTTTATATGGGGTATAGAAATAAATGATTACATACATGCAATATATGTATTGCGTCAGAAAGCAACAAACAATAAAAGACATTGATGAGCGATAAAGGCTTTGTTTTGTTAGATGTGAGAAAAGACCCTTAAGATATGTTGCATCTCCTCCTTTCCCACCCAGGTTTGCTTCTTTCTTAACATCTGTGACTTTAATCAAGGAGTTCAGAATACAGCCCTGTTGTCTGATTGCTCCTGAAAGGGCTAGTTTTTGCACACCAAAGGAAATGGTTTGGCTAAAGAAGAAAACATGGCTTCCTAAACTTCAAAAGGAGGCATAGACTACCATGCTAAAATGCTAACCTCACTTTTATTAAAACACTAATAATAAGGCCTAAACTCCCTGTAACACCCACACCGCTCACTTTGGGTCCCTGAAGCCCAAGGGCTGCACTGGGGACCTTTAAAATCACACTGAAGTTTGTAGCAATCCAGACTACTCAAATAATGAGATAATAGGGTTGATAGGGGGCGAGAGGTCCAAATTGACTCAGGTGCTCCTCCTGGGCACTTCTTCTCCGGAAGAGGGGGCTTTTCCCTCTTAATCCCCTCACTAGCCTCCCCCTAAGGTGTCTTTCCCCCTGGAGGGACCCCACCCCATTCTTCCCCCCCCGGGATGTATTTCGAGGTGAATTTAAACCGGCTGAAGAATTGAGCCCACCGGACCTGTTTTGGAGACAATTTCCGTGGGGGTTTCAAAGCCTCTAAGTTTTTATGATCAGTCCAAACTTCAAAAGGTGACTCAGCTCCCTCCAAGAGGTGCCTCCAGTTCATTAGCACCCATTTTACAGCGAAGGCTTCCTTCTCCCACACTAACCATCTCCTCTCTGTTTCAGTAAACCTCTGGGAGATATAGGCACAGGGATGTAACACCCCATTGTCAGCTTTTTATAACTACACTGCCCCAATTGCCACATCGGATGCATCTGCTTGGATTACAAACGGTTTATCTGGGTCCGGATCTTTTCGGATGGGTTCCGCAGTGAACAGTCGTTTTGGCTGCTCAACTGCCTCTTGGCATTCTTCCGTCCAGTCCAAGGGCGCCCCTGGCTTTTGGGCTTTGATTTTATCTTTCCCCTTAGTTTTTAGCAACTCAGTAAGAGGCAGAGCCACTTGAGCAAAATTAGGAATGAACTGGCGGTAAAAGTTAGCAAACCCCAAGAAACTTTGCAACTGGTGCCTCTTTTTTGGTGCTTCCCAGCCCTCTGCGTCACAGACCTTGCTTGGGTCCATCTCCACCCCTCGACTGGAGATTCGATATCCCAGGTAATCAATTTGTTCCTGGTGAAACTCACATTTTGAAAGTTTGGCATACAGTCGCTCATCCAAAAGTTTCGTAAGCACTTCCCTCACCAATTTTACATGCACCTCCCAATTTTCAGTATATATCAGAATACCATCCAAATACACCAAGACACCCTTGTACAAATATTCATGTAACACTTCATTTATCAGTTGCATAAAGACCCCCGGAGCCCCCGAAAGTCCGAACGGCATCACTCGATATTGAAAGCAACCCAGAGGGCAGCAGAACGTGTCTTCCATTCGGCCCCCTCCGTGATCCTCACCCTAAAGCAAGTGTCTCGCAAGTCCAGCTTTGTAAGAATCTTCCCTTTCGCCAATAGATCCTTCATTAGGGGGAGGGGGTATTTGTTTTCCTTACAAGCGGCATTCAACCCCCGATAATCAGTGTGCAGCCTTAACGCCCCATCCTCCTTTTCCCGGAACAGCACGGGCGCTGCTAGAGGGGATTTGGCAGGCTCTATAAAACCTCTTTGGAAGTTTTTGTCAATGAACTCTCTAAGGGCCACCATTTCTTTCGGAGTCATAGAGTACATTTTTGGCATGGGGTATTTTATCTGCCCCTGCTTCCAGTTCTATCGCACGGTCTCTTGTGTGATGAGGCAGTAGTTGATCCGACTCAGTTTCACTAAAAACTTTAGCCAAGTGACTGTATTGATCAGGAATTGATTTGGCACCATCCGAGCTCACCTGGGCTGGGACTTGTGCACCAGCAGCCGCCACCACCGGGCTGGAGGTTTCAGCGGCAGTCTTCCTTTCTACAGTGCATGCCCCATCCGGGAAAATCAAGCTCCTGGCGTCCCAGCCCACTTGAGGACTCCACAGCTCTAGCCAGGACATCCCCAGGATCAAAGGGTGACCCGCAATCGTGCAGCTAAGCACTTTAAAGTCTCTCAATGAGAGCCAATCCTTAACTCAAAAGCCTCCGTGTAATATTCCATGGGTCCTCCCCCTGCAGTCGATCCATCCAATTGTCTGAATACAACAGGTGTCTTTAGTTTCTGCACCCTCAGCCCCAGCCCGTTTACCAGGATGGGACTAATCAAGCACCAGTGCAGCCAGAGTCTGTTGAAGCTGTCAACTCTGCTTTATGAGTAGTCCTCAGAGCCCTTTTCACCCCAACCGTCATGGGACTCACCTGAACATCCTCTTCATCTGTCTTTGGCTCCTCACGCCTTGGGTCCTCCACCTGCTTTCGGGCATGCTTTAAAGCAGTTGGCCGAAGTTTTCCACCGGCTGCTCCTCATCCTCCTGTTCACCTTCGATCATCAGCTGGACAGGGAACTGCTCCTCCTCTCCCGAAGTGGCAGTTCCCTTCTTCTCCGTTTTCACCAGCGTTGACGATTTGCTGGTTTGTTTAGGCTTCGGGGCTGACCTTTTCAGGCAGAAGGATGCGAAGTGCCCCTCCTCTCCGCAGTTGAAGCACGACTTTCCCATTGGCCGGGCACTCGGTCCAGTCCCTGTAGCTTTTCCACTTCCCTTCTGGGTTGCTCGGCGTGGAGCCGTCATCGACTTCGGGTGGGTTGCTGCACCCGGTCCACGCACTGCTAAGCACTGAGACTCCATCACTGAGATGTGGGCTGCCCACCCCTGCAGCATTGTGGGGCATCCTCTCACCAGTGCCATCTCCCACAGCTTGGGATTCAGCCCCTTCTGAAGGATTCGGGCCAATCGTGTAGTTTAGCCGCGAGGTGCCTAAACTCCAAGGCATATTCCTTGCTTGAGCTCCGTGATAGCCGCTTGTGCGCACAGGGGTCCTCAAGCCGCTCCTGCAACGCCGTCATGAACCCGTTGAAATCCTCCATCTCCGGTGCATCAGCTTCTTGCAGGTCAATCACCCATTCGGCTGCCTGACCCACCAAATAGCGAGACACATAGGGGACCCTCCAGGCATTGCTCGGGAACAGATGTCCAGAACTCTCCATGCAAATCCTGACTTGGTTCAGGAAACTGGCCAGCTCGTTTGGGTCCCCTCCATATGGCTTTTCGAGACCCCACCATTTCAGCGGGTCACCTTCCCCCTCAGCCGGGCGGGCTGGGGCCAATGGCCGACCACCTGCCCCCCAACCCGGCCAGTCTGGGATTCTGGGTCCCGCTCTCCTGTCACCGTGCTGACTCCCGGTCGTCGGTCATTGTCCTGGGTCTGGACCGAGAGGGGGGACGATCCTGCCCTTCCACTGTTAAGAGCCTTCCTAGCATGGCTGTCAGTGGCCTCAGCTCTTCCCTCATCGCTCGCCCCTCGCCCCGGAGAGTGTACACCTCTGCCTCCAGGTCCTAGACTCGCTGCTCTTGGCCCCGCGACTCGGTGGCAGCTTTCACAGCCCCCACTGCATCTCCGATTCCCGTGGACCATCCAGGTTGGTCCAGCTTCATTGGTGGTGGTTCCTCGGCAGCCTCCCAAAACTCCCACGGCCTTCGAGTGTCCCATAATTGGCCACGCGGATGCTCCTTCTTTTTCACCACCGCCTGAGCTGCAATCGGCTGTGAAGGAATCAGGATCTTTTCAATCTCTAGTGGAGGGGACGGCTCTTTCGCAATGCCACCCGTTGCCCAATCTCAGTCTCGCCCTCCATCTCCAGGATCTCCTTCTCCTCCTCGGGCATGGTGCTTCATGGGATGTTCCTCGGTGAGTCGTGTCCTCAGGAAAAATCCGATTGAAGGAGTTTCAGCAAAATGTCAGATCTACGATGTTCAAATCCCAGTGAAGAAAAATCTCTTGAAACTTGAATCAAGTTCAAAAAGAAATTCATTTATTGAGATGTACACACAGCTTCACTGCAGCACTGCTGAAACCGCATTCCCAGTCTACTTTTACCCTCACTTCTCCAGCCCCCCTTCCTTGGCCAGTTCTCACGTTGGTGCAACGCTCCTGGCTCCAGATAACAGCCCATCTGCGCTAATGGTTTCCCTTTCCTCATCCCCCCCCGCCCCCCTTATGGAGAATGGCAGGAACAAAGCAAACAGCTACGGAGCTGAGAGATTGGTTGCTGGAGGTTCTGACAGCCGGAACCCAGCAGGAGCCCCAAATCTCTGGCTTTGCTCAGTCTTTGCCAGGGAGGGACCAGGCGCCCCTTCGGAGTCCCAGCAGCCCCACCCTGGAGGCCCCCTGGGAGACTTCAAGGGAGCTTCAGAGGGCATCTAGTCCACCCCTCCAGGCCCACAGAGGAAAGGAGAGCCCAGCTGGGAATCCCGGGGAGAGCAAAGGAAGGGGTTGGCCCCTCTGGAGCTGGCGGGGGAGCCCCTGGAGCTGCAGCCCCCCAAGACGGAAAGGATCCCCCCTCCCACTTTCTC